GAAAATTCGATTTTACTTATGTTACCCTAAAATGTAATTCTCCATTTGCGACACTCAAGCCTACCGACGTTGTAGATTTTCATCCTTCCGATGGGCTTGTTTAGAATAATCGCCCAAAATCTCGATTTTTCCTTACAAGATTACGCCCTTATTTCAAACCTTTAGCCACCTGCAACACCCCCTTCCTTGTTTTACGAAGCCCGGTTGTATTAATTCATCCTTTGGTGAACACGGCTTGCGAGAAAATATGGGCACTAGGACGTCTTCCATTTGTGTTAGGAAAAATCGAATTTTCCATCCGTTATCCCAGGAGCCAGGAGCCACTCGTAAAAATACCTTCGTCTTACTCAAAATCGATGTACTTTTCAACCCTCTTTGAGGCTTGTATGCGAAAATGGGGCACCTAAATATGTCACTATCTGACGGTCTATATAGGACTGTGAAGAGAAAGCAACGAGCCATCCAACGATGCGCATCACAAGGTAGGTAAAGGGGTGAGGCGGGGTAACTCAAAAAGTGCCTCATTTTAATTTCCCTCCAATCCCCCGATACGTATTTGAGATCTTCCTGATAGTATTTTTTGTCTAGAAGATATTCCCGACTGCTACTTTCCAGAAATTGTCCCCCTGTATTTCCAAATTGTTGATTTTTTAGATACTTTAGAAAGAATGTTTTAAGTTTTTTTTATATATTTATTTAAGATGATTTTTCAGACTCTGAAGTGCCCTTTTTTATCCATGAAACATTTATTCAATTGATTTTGACCCCCCCTACATATTCTTCTGCGGGCGCCCCTGCGGACACCCTGTATAATTTCTGTTTGTTGGGTGGAATCTATCCCCTTCAAACCTGCCCGGACATCTGATTTTTCAGTATGTGACATAGATCACACCTGATAATGATTTCTACCAAATAATAAATAGAATGGACAAAAAACAAAAGACTAATATTCTGACAGTTACAACGAGATCAGTGATCAGTGGTCACAACCAGAGCTGGGCAGTAATTGCCTTGAAAGTGCTTGAAAAAGTGCTTCAAGCACAATAGTGCTTCGAGTACAGTGCTTGCAAGCACTTTCAAAATACAGTGCTCGGTAATTGGTAATCGAAGCCCTCTATAAAAAGTGCTTGGTAATTGGTAATTGATTTTCGCATTTCAAGCCATTTTAAGTGCTGGCAAGCACTTAAAAGGCTTGCAAGCACTTAAAAGGCTTGCAAGCACCAAAAGAGCTTGCAAGCACTAAAAATCAAGTCCTTAGTAACAACTTAACGCAGCATAAGCTTTAATGTGATTGGCTGGTTGAAGGCCGTCTCGGCATCGGCAATATGGAAACATTTGTGTTGTGTTAAGGCGGTTTCCCAGGACCCGTGATATCGCAAGCCGGATTGCGCCGTCCTTCCCATGGAGCGTTGGCGCGTGTAAGCGCGGCCTTGCAGGCCGGGCCGCGGGAAGCCTGCTTAATAGTTGAATTATTGGTTACCGATCGTTATTCAATATCAGTTGTCTTCTTTTAACCGTCGTATGCTGATTTGCGATTGCCAGTGTCACTATACCACCACAGTTTATTAAAGTCTTTATCTTTAATTATAATAATGTTAATATTCGCTGATGCAGTATAGTGTAGTGTATGTAGAATGAAGAGACGAAGACTAATAACAAATTAAGAACAAAAAACTTTGGTTTGATCATTTTATTATAACTATCATCATATCAACATCAACCAAAGACGTTAAAACTTATTACGTTTCAAATTGCTTTCTCCCCAGACCCCAAATACAGCAACCAGCAACATCTTTATTTTAAAAATAAATTGGAAGCAATTGGCAAAGTAGAGTGCTTGGTAATTGGTAATTTATTCGAGAAAAAAGTGCTTGCAAGCACCTGCAAGTAATCTCTGAGTAATTGGTGCTTGGTAATTGAATTGTGCAATTACTTTCCTTGGTAATTGGTAATTGTAAGCACTAAGCATTTCCAAATTGCTTGGTGCTTGATGCTGGCAATTCCTTTTCCTAAGGGCTTGGTGCTTGATGCTCCAAGCACTTTTTTCGAGTGCTTTGCCCAGCTCTGGTTAGAACTAGCAATTTTTTTAGATGGAACATCCAGTAAATTTTTAATTTGTTTGATAATATGTTTCATTCTGATTGCAATACATACAATACAATTGAATACAATTTACTCTACATGCAGAAATGTTTTATTTATTCTAATTGAAAATATTGACTACCTACCTACCTTTCAGTGGCGTAACTTCAGATTTTGGACCTGGTGGCAGAGTGGTTTGGCGAGGCCCAATTACAATATTGCAGTAGTGTATGAAATATTCTGTTTGTCTAAGGGCCAAATTATGGACCAACTGGCCGACCAATGGGATTACAGATTGCGTTTCTATCCGTCAGATTGCATACCTGACAGTTTATCAGAAAGTGAATAAACCGGCCCTAACTTATAAGAACCTGGAAATAATTCATTTGCGGAAACCACCTACCATCTTCCACGCTAACAGCTAACACTACCAATCGCGACTTTACTTGTTGCGGAATACCTATATTTTCCAATGAATGTGAGTAGTAAATAGATAGGTAAGTCAGCAAAATTTCTGAGAATCATACAATAACGACATCTCCATTGTATCATTATTAGAGTAGCCTCAACTGGTCTTCCAAATGCTTCGTGAAAGACAGTCCAGGCTACTCTAAATAATATACAATGGAGATGTCGGTATCAAAAGGCAGCCCACAGGGTGAGGTCTTATCCTTCCTACTGTGGGACTTGGTCGTAGACGAACTCCTAGTAGACCTTAATAACACAAATATTTATACCTAGGGTTACTCATATGATGTACTAACCGTAGTCATGGGGAAAAACCTAAAAACTACTTCTGCAAAAATGCAAAGAGCGCTCAAAATCGTGAAAGACTGGGTCAAAGGGGCAAACCAGAGTGTCAACCCTGAGAAAACAGCTATAATTTCCTTCACGAAAAGAAGAAAACTGGACGATCTAGTCCCTCCCACCTTCTTCAGAAAGCACGACATAAGGCATTCTCCGTGCTAGAGCCCTCCCCGAAAGCAAACTGGTTTTCACCGAGCAATTTATATTTTTCTAAATATACCATTAATTTAATTTTAAAACATTTTTCTACCAATTTGCTTATAGTACTCGTTAAAGTTATTGGTCTATAATTACTTGCTAATTTTTTGTCTCCTTGTTTATATACCGGTACAATTATTGAACTCTTTAGTACTTCAGGGAAAACTCCATTACCGAATATTACATTAATAATATGGCTGATTGGTTTCATTAATTGAATATGAAATCTTTTTATTATGTTTGAACTAATATCATCTTCTCCTCCTTTCACATTTTTATTGAGGCTCATTATCTGTTTGAGAAGTTCCCTGTCTGAAACAGGTGTCAAAAAAAAGGAGCCTGCCGTTCTCTCTCCCTCTCTCATGGCATGTTTGTCATAGAATCTATTCTCGGTTATTCTTTTTGCCAAGGCCTCCCCTATATTGTTAAAGTATCTATTAAATTCGTTGGCTACTGCTTTTTTATTATTTAATTCTATGTTTTCATCACTAATTACACTTTTTATGTCTATGTTATTCATAGTGTTATCATTAGTGGCCTCTTTTATCACTTTCCAAAGTTTTTTGGGGTCGTGTGCTTTATTTGCTGCTTGTGATTTATAGTACGAATGTTTCGCATTTCTTATCAATTTCGAAAGCTTTTTCCTATATTCATTATATCGATTTAAAAGTGATAGATTGTATTTATGAATAGTACATTCTTTTTTCAAAGCATCTCTATTTCTAATTGAATTCAAGAGGCCACCAGTGATCCAAGGTTTCAATTTTTTGTTTTTATTTTTTATAGTTACAGTTTTAGTTGCCTTCAAAATCATAGTCTTAAGATTATCAATAAACATATTAGTACTCAAATTTGCATCATAACCTTCCATAACACCATCCCATCTTGCCTCAGAGATAAGTTCTCCAAGTTTTTCATAGTCTATTCTTTCATAGGAATTTGGTTTGTTTATGTGCTTAATATTATTATTGTTTAATTGTATAGTAAGCAAGATAGGATCATGATCTGTAAGTTTATGTTCCAATATTACAGATTTGAGATTCTGAAAGACATTGTTTTTACATTTAATAAAATAATGATCGATACATGAGCTTGATTCACCACTTTTCCTTGTTGCCTTATTGATAACACCTGCAAACCCATGACTCTGAAGCATTGTCAGATAGTAGTTGGTAACCTCCGACTCCATTGCCAGCAGGTCAATGTTTATATCTCCCACTAGAAGTTGTGTTTGACCTTTAAATGTATTTGACTTGCTTAGTACTGAATTCAAATTTGCTATAAATTCTTCCTTGGATGTGGCAAAGGATCTATAGGTCGCTAATATATCCGCAGTTGCATTATTTTTTTGTATAGATGCTTTGATAATTTTCAGGTTATTTTCAGTTATGATCTGGCTTTCCATATAAAATTCTTGTTTAATATATAGAGCGCACCCATCACATCTATTCAATACACTCTCGTTGAAGATTACATGATACCCAGGTATGTTGAAATTATTTGTATCATAAACCTGATGAGTCTCAGACATTACTATCATATCAAAGTCTTTTTTTGTTGATTCGAGAAAAACTAAAAACTGATCAAAGTTGGGGTATATACTTCGAATGTTTATATGAAATATATTAATATCTCTCAACCTATTATCAAAAAAATTAACTTCATTTATACTATCACAAATGTATGTATCACAAGCCTTATAATTGTCTAAAATATTGTTTAATTCGGTGAATTTTATACTGTGTATATCTGTATTGGTAAACGTTATTTGGTTTTTTCATTTATAAGCAATTTGCAAGGTCATTATCACATTTAATTTTTATTGGAGGGTTATGGTCATCCTGTTTCAAATATATAATACCATTTACACAGAATGCAGCCTTATAGCCTTTGCTTTGTTTAAAATCTCTTACCTTTTTGAACAATGTTCGTTTTTTCTCAGTTAGGTCTTCATTAAGATAAATTTTCGTGTCTGTACCTTCTAATCCACATTTCTTAGATGTTATTCCCCTTAGTTTTTTAATGTTTCTTATAACTTCTTTTTTAGTATTTACATTGCCAAATTTGACCAAAATAGGGCCCTCTTCTCTATGGCTGAACCTGAAACTATCCATAATCCCACCTTCCTCTATCTGCATATTCATTGCTGTTAGGATTTTATTAATAATCACTTTCGTATTTGGGTTTGTTTGTTTTGGAACTCCAACAACAACCATGTTATTCTCTTTTTCTTTCATTTCTATTTGATCTTGTTTTAATTCTAAAGCGATAATTCTTTGTTTAAGAATTTCATTCTCCTTCTTGACAGTTTTCATTTCCTCCAAGATAACCTCAAATTTATTTTTCTGTTCGTCAAATGCATTTGACATAAACTGAACCGATTTTTCCAAATTATCCAGTTTTTTGTCAATTTTAAGTTCCAGTGGGGCAACATACTTCTGAAAGGATTCCTTAATAGCAGGTAACAAGGTAACTTGCACGGGTGCCGGGGCACACGGGCGTTTCTGGCAATGAAAACGCGAACTCCTTAGCCAGGCAAGGATCAGAAAGGCAGTTAATGGGCCCTGAACCCGTATTCGGAATATCAAAAAACTCGACACGTGGCTGCTTGGACAAGTGGATCCGAGCGGAACACCAAAACCACTGGCAACACCACAGTAAGGCAATGGTAAACTATCCTACAATAAGATTAGCCTCTGAGATCCTAAAGCTCACGAGGAGCCAGATCAGAATTGTGACGGAACTGGTCGGTCACTGTACACTGAGGAAACACCTACACAAGATGGGAATCTACCAAGATGAACCCATTTGTAGATTGTGCGACGAGGACGAAGAATCAGCCTCCCACATCTTATAAAGAGGCTACTGCACCTGGGGGGCGAAGGTGTCAAACCTATTTTAGCAGAAATTCGCACAGCAAGGGATACAATAAGCTAACTAGCTGCAGTGTCAGGGAACCACTAAACCTTGCCTTGCTGCCATTGATCAAATGAATCAATAAATCAATCAATCAGCAAAATTTTTAATGATTTTCGTATTTTTTTTATTACAATTATAAGATATTATTCTAAGAATCATACGAATATGTTTTTTGACTGTAAAATTACTTTTGCATGGGACCTCGGATGGGGCCCAAGAGCCTCTGGGCCCGGGGGCCACGGCCCCCTCGGTAGTTACGCCACTGCTACCTTTGTAGGTAATCTGTACCTATAGTTGTATTGTATTGTATTGGTTTGTATATATTGCAAGCAGAATTTAATAAAACAAGTCAAACAAATTAAATAGTTATTTGTTTCACTAGGCAGAAAAGTACAAGATTTCGGCTATGCCTCGGCTATGAAACACCAGCCGCGGCATTAAATCTACTTTTCTGCCATGTAAAACATATAATTTTTTCTCCGAATGTTCAAATTCACACATGGACATCTTTTTTACATTTATTTCATTCATTATTATTATCCAAATAATTAAATTATTTTGACAATTGTCATTGTCACCATCAATTTCAAATACCAAATTGAGTGAAATTATTACCTGGAAAGTTGTGACACTGTCACTTTTAATGCCTAGGCAGTAAAAGTCCACTTTTACTGCCTAGGCAGTAAAAATACAACTTTAGATCCTGGCAAGTGTCATTAAAAGGCCGCTTTTACTGTCATTCGAAGAAAATAGTATATTGTTGTATTAGGAGTAGAAGCTTCACTTTTTTGTGCTGAAGCGGTAAGTTTGCGAGCCGAACGTAGTGAGGCTTGCAATACTGCTGAAGCTCAAAAAAGAGCTTCTACTCCGTATGCAACACGCTATTTTTTCTCCAAACGAATGGGGTAAGCTCGGGGCAAGTGAATGGTTGAGCGGCAGTAAAAGTACGAGCGGCACTAAAAGTACTTCTACTGCCGCTCCAGCGGCACTAAAAGTACTTTTGCTGCCGCTTGGGTTGCCAAGCAGCATAGAAATTAAATTTCTACCACCTCGACAGGTGTTAACCCGCTGGATTTTCCTAGCAGCATAGAAATCAAAGGCGATTTTCAGCCTGGAATGATTATTTAGCGGTAAATACCGTGGTTATTCTTTTGGTTGACAACTTTGACAGCCAAGTGTGATGTCATAGCCCCCCACCATTCAAGAATCATAACCCAAGGAACTGACCGCTGAAATGATTTGGTTATAGCAGTGTAGGATTAGGTTTATTGTTCTTATTTGTTTTTTCGTTTCAACAATAGTTTTTTGTTTAGGTACAAAAAATGGAGTTGATATCTCGTTAGTCTCGTTTATCGAACAGATTTTCTTCGGGGATGATCTAAACCTCGATCTAAACATGGTGAATTGCAGTGAGTGAGTGAATGTATACTTCTTTCATTGTGCCAGGCTACAACGCAACTGCAAAATCACAAAACACCAATACAAATTCCAAAAATAATAACAATAACATCAAAAAGCTATAACCAAAAGATTAACCCAAGTCCACAGCTGGGTTATAATCGGTTATGTGGTAAATACCAAAAGCAAATCAGCTGATATGTGACGTCACAACTTACTTTGGTTAAAACCGCGATGGCGGAAATGCATTGGTTATAACCAAATAATAATCATTCCAGGCTGAAAATCGCCTCAAATTTCTGACATCTTGACAGGGGTTAACAAAGTGACGTTTTTCTGACGTTTGGAGAAAATAGTATTTTACATTATTAGCCAGGTAAAACAGTTTTTACTGGCGATTGAAGGAAATGACTAGCGAGCCGCCAGGCGAGCTTGTCACCTTCAAGAGCCAGTAAAAACTGCTACCTGGCGTATAATGTACAATAATTTATTTGTTACTCATTTGTAAAAGATATAGGGACAAATAAAAAATCAATACATAACAAAAATTTGAAATTTATATGTTTTTCCTTGATTTTTTCTCACAGAAGTTTTGGTAGTTGGTATAACTATGAGAATGATACGTTGTTAAGACGTTGTTTCTAGTTATAAATAGGTTTTTTGACAGATTTCCATTTTGCAATTTTTTTCCAGAAATGAATTTATTACAAGATATTATTAATGAAGCTGCAGTCGTAGCCAACAGTTTATCACCAGAAAAGTCTCCCAGAAGGTACCTACAAGCAATTATTCTTGTGATAAAACCGATTTTTCAAAAATAAATAATTCTACTGACTTGTGAAAAGTTTTTACAGTTTAGCTGTCAATTTTACAAGTCAGTAGAGCCAGTAGCTCGTAAAAATCAATTTTCGCTGGTTATGTTTTGACTTGATAAGTGACGTTTTACAAATGAGTGACAAATAAAATTATTTACTGGGGTGTTCCTCAGTGTTCTATTTAAACAAATGCTATTTGTGTGCATAACTGTCAAACTATATTGGTCTTTTGTTTTTTGTCCATCCTATGTAAAACTTGTCGAACATCCGTATAAGTAGTTTGTTTTTTTATTTATTTAAATATCATCAAAAATAAAGAAATTATGACAGTTTAAAATGTTATCAAAATAAAATGACAACTGATTTTCATTTCTAAATCTGTTGCAAACATCAACGAGGTGTACTGCCGGTTGGTTATCAATTTCTGTGTAGTGTTTGTATATTAGCATTAGTTATGCAAGGCTGTCTTCAGCAATTTGTTTTTGTGATAGTAGGGCAGTTTAGGCTCATCTCACAAACATCAACATACAAACATATTTGCGAAATATTAATAACAAATTCCTCTCCAAGCCCTAAGCATGTGCTACAAAAACGTGTGAAACACAAAATGCTGTATTGGCAAAATCTTCATTGATCCCTTTGGCAAAGGAAATAAAAACATATCTACAATAATGGATCGACAATGTTAGATAAGACATAGAATAATTTCATCAGGAAGGTTAAATATTAAGACACATTTTACCGGTAATAATAGTGCAAATTACATGAGAAAATGTTTAAACAAATTAAAAAATTCTCCTACCTGTTTGTGATAACAAAACACCTCACTTATGAAAGCGATGTTGTCATTGCTGTCAAAACTCGCATTAATCTTCTTCTGTTTTCACGGTATATAATTATGTAATGTTATTGATTTCAAATAAAACCTTATTCAATTAGTTCAGAAATCAATTAATTAAGATTTTATTGATACAAAACTTGAATGTATTTAATTATAGAACCAAACCGGCAACAGCGTGAATTAGATAAATTTAAATTCTTGTCTTCTTTTTTCCGAAATCCCCAGCACAGCAAGGCTCTAGTCGGCTGAGGTTAACCAACTAATTTCTGCTGCTGACGTCATCATTTTCAAACTTTTTCCGTTGCTCCGTTCAAGTTCGACTAGTTCGAGTAGTTTTTGACAAACTTCAAAAATATTCAACAAAACGTCTTTTTATCATTTTTTTTTGGGAAAAATTTAATGGGACAATAAAAAAATTGATGAACTTTCAACTATAGAGAATGTTGCGGAGCATCTATAGGTAAAATGGTAATTATTCCGGAAAATCATTACAAAGATAAATATTTTCTTCAGCCTCATTCACAGAATATTCGACACCTCCGAAAAGAAGTACAATAACACAAAATCTCGTGCCGTTATTTTCTGCTACACAAACTCTATTGACGATTCAGTTAAAATGAATATGGAACTTAACGGGAAACAGCGCAAAATTGCCAGAAAACCTTTGCAACACCACAAACCGCTCCAAATTCAACCGAACACTGAGAAAACTTTCAAAATTGAAACCAATTCGGGTAATGTCATATGCAAACACCAAAAGGATATTAATATAATTCCTATGGCCGGCAAAGACAAGGAAACTAGCTTGAGACGATTGAGTTTTACCAATAATGAAGCAGATGAATTGAAGAACGTTGCCAAAGAAAGACCGAAAAGTGAAGGCCATGGCGATATAAACGCAGATGTACAGCCAAATGCCAAACAGTTAATTGAAAAATACCCTGAAAAGCGTTTAGAATTGGTTCCACCAGGTAATTTTCTGCCACATCGAGCTATTTTTGCAATTTTTATATTATTTCAGGCAAAGACCAATTTACTTATCTTATGGAGCAAATTACAAAAATGAAAACTGGTTTGGAACGTCTTCAGGAAATCGCTGTTCAGTTTAATTGCTCCCAACGCTTTAATGAAGATATTAATTATCTTATCAAGAATATCCGACCTCATTTGGAAAACCAAGCCAGGAAGAAAAAAGAATGATATTCCACCAAATGTAAACTAAAATATATATGAATTTCTCAAAAAAATCTCAGTGATCAATGTCCCCTTCTAAATTCTCTATTTTGGCCTATAGTATCCAAAGAAACTTGTATAGTGACAAATAAAACTACATTTATTTTTTTATAGATAATACTATTTTTTATATTTGTAGTGATAACAAAACACAAAAAAAAAAAATACATAAAAAAAACTTTAAAGTCGCTAAAAAATTTAGGAAATAATTTAACAAAGGTAAAAAGGAAAAAAATCTAAAAAGATTGAATCAACATATTATTTTCCTTCAATTGAAGCAACTTTTAACAAATGAAAATTTCCATAAAATATTCGAAAAAAAAAAAATTAAAAAATAATGGAAACTTTGCCTAAGAGAGAAACAATAAACAATGATATATTTACTTAAAAGAAAAAATACACCTATCAAGTCTAGTATAAATTATTATTACATTATTGGTATCTTCTAAAATACATTTATAATTCTAATATTTTCACAGATTTTTTTTAGATTATTGAACGAAAATTATTCGTTCTTTAGTTGTGTTAATTTCTATACAAAATATGTGTGTTGTTGAATGTATGGTTCCATCAAAAATCCATAATTAAGGATTTTGTGAAATTTGGGTTGGAATTATTCTTAGAAAAAAAACTTTTTTTTTCAATAATCACCCTGTGTATCTTACCGCGTCTTTTTTATTACATCATAAAAAATTATTTCAAACTAGGTAGGTGAAATTTTTCTTGTTTCAAAGTTACACACACATCAAAAAAACTATCAAAATGTCTATTCCTAATCTCCTAATATATTACAATCAATGCGACAATTGTAGTAAGACGGTGCATACAAAATACTTTTTTCGCCCTGTAACAGTTACTAAATTAAAGTAATATTAAAAATAAAGTGAACCGAAAATCCATCATTTCCAAATCAGTCTCTAAAATGTGTTTTTTTAGAAAGTCTTTTCTTCCGTTTTTTCTGCGTCAGAAGAGAGAGCTTCTATTAGTGCTTCTACACAGTTTTTGGGAATCACCGTACCTAAAAAGAAACAAAGATATAAATTATTACAAAAACAGATAAGAAAAAAAAAACGGAACTGAAAGTTCATAAACAAAAATACAAGGACACAGAGACCAAAATTTGAGGAAATTAAGAAAATATTATAATGAAATAATTAGAGATCAAATCAAATCAAATCAAAATAAGCTTTATTGTTGTAAAGACATAATCTTATTAACAAAGCTGTACTTAAAGATAAATAGAAACATAATATAACACCTAAACAATCAAGCAAGCTAAAACTAAATATAAAAATCGTAACATGTATACAGAAAAAAGGAAACACAATATACAGGGTGTTTAAAAAAGACACGGCAATATTTGAGGGGGTGATTCCTCAGGTCATTTTATGGAAAAAAGTTCCCATAAACATAGGTCCGGAAATGCATTTTTTGCAAGATACAGGGTGGTAAAGATTAGACCTAAGAGCTCAAATCATTGGTGGGTGTAACTCAATTAGAAATAACCCTGGTATTTTTGAGAGAGTTCGCCAGTCAATGAGGAGAAGATTGAATTCCTGCATCCACGCCGGGGGTGGTCACTTTGAACAGCTTTTGTAATGTTTTTGTATCATAATGGACAAGCAAGAAAATAGTTTTCATTTTTTATTTTGTAAACGAAGAAGGATACGACAAAAATTTAAGAGACAAAAAAGTTGCAGTTTTAGTTGATTTATCTGAAAGAAAAATCGAAATTAAATTAAAGTCAGTGGCGTACATATTTTCGTCAATAAATTTTATTAAATTGCCCCCCCTAACGCCACTGGAGTTAAAAAAAATTATCTAGTCAGGGCAAAACTAGCCCCTAATTACTAAAAACAACGCTGCCAATTTTCAAAACAATCGGTGAGAAGATATTTGAATTATTTAAAAAAAAACGTTATTTTAAAAAAATCTTTAACACCCTGTATCTTGGAAAAAATGCATTTCCGGACCTATGTTTATGGGAACTTTTTCCATAAAATGACCTGAGGAATCACCCTCTCAAATATTGCCGCGTCTTTTTTAAACACCCTGTATATAGATTCCAAAATAGCTACTTATATAGACAATATTGCCAAGAATATTGAATTAAGATTTGATTTTCAAGTATCATCCCACCAAGCCTACAACCGCTTCCTCGTAAAATGTGGCACTATAAATCGGCAAAATGGAATGACCTAAAACAGTATTACCTGGATTTTCCATGGCAAGAGGTTTGCTTTAAAACAGCTGATCCCACTATTTGCTGTAATGAAATAACACAAGTAATCTTATCTGGAATGGACGCATATATCCCACATACAACTAAACGTAGAGCTAATGCAAAACCTTGGTTCAACAGCCAGTGTCAAACGGCTGTACAGAAAAAACACAGAGCATATAACCTTTGGAAACGACAACAAACCGCTCAAAACCACACAGAATTTATAGAAGCCAGAAATAGTTGCAAAATTACTATTGACTCCGCTAAAGAAACATACAATCAAAGAATAAAAAACAGGTTGCTGAATTGTCCAAGTAGTTCTAGGTCTTTTTGGTCTCTTGCAAAAGCTGTTGGATCTAACTTCACCAAGTCATCCATACCACCACTTACAGATAAAAATAATCACTTAGCCACAACATCAGAGGAAAAAGCCAATATGCTTGCCCAAATGTTTTCCTCCAACTCCAACCTAACAGTGCCAAACGGAAAAACTCCACCGTTCATTGAAAGGGTTTCCCATTGTATGCCAGAGGTACCCTTTTGTCACAGAGAAATACGAAAATCCCTAAAAAAGCTGGATACAAACAAAGCAATGGGTCCGGATGGCATTCCCGCAATAGTACTCAAAAATTGCGCCAACGAACTCACCCCAACTTTCGCAAAATTATTCAATTTGTCTTACAGGCAAGGAGTATATCCATCATCATGGAAGTCTGCCGCAGTACAACCCATTCCAAAGAAAGGAAAAAAGACAGATCCGTTAAACTATAGACCAATTGCTCTACTTCCGGTGATATCAAAAGTAATGGAAAGAGTTGTGAACAATCACCTAACCAAGTACTTGGAAAAGTACAAAATTATCAACGATAAGCAATACGGATTTCGAAAATATAGATCAACTGGCGATTTACTTACATACGTCACTCACTTATGGCAAAAAGCGATTGAGTTGCGGGGTGAAACAAGAACAATTGCCTTAGATATATCTAAAGCATTCGACAAAGTTTGGCATGAAAATCTTCTCAACAAGCTCAAAGCAATGGGATTATCGCCGAAACTTTGCACTTGGTTTGAAAGTTACCTAAAGGACAGATCCATTTATGTTGCACTGGATGGCCAGAACTCCAACTCTTACCAAATAAATGCTGGTGTGCCACAGGGAGCAATCCTTTCGCCAACTCTTTTCCTGATTTACATAAATGACCTCATAGATAAAACAGTAAATCCACTTTATTGCTTTGCAGACGATGGTAATGTAGTCTCCTCACTCATACCACCCACAGGGCTTTCCGCACGTGAATTCCATCATCTTAGACTAACTCAAATATCGCAGATAAATAACGACCTGGAGATAATAGAGGACTGGGGTAACAAAAACCTTGTACAGTTCAATGCGCAGAAAACCCAAGCAGCTCTGTTTTCAAAAAAGACCAGCACCGGTGAGCCAAACATCATGCTATCTGGAAGTGCTGTCACATTACAGAGTCAGTTGAACATCTTGGGGGTTACTGCAGAGACCAACATGTCTTGGCACAGTCACGTGGCAGATATTGCTAAAAGGGCCTCCCAAAAGCTGGGGGTGCTATTTCGTACAAGACATCTGTACACACCAAGCCAATTGCTGACACTCTACAAAGCCCAGATTCGACCAACTATGGAGTATTGCTCACATATATGGAGTGCAGCACCCAAACATACCTTAATGCTTTTGAATACCGTGCAAAAACGAGCTATCAAGCTGATCAATGACCCCGCACTTACTCGTAACTTGGATGGTCTCGAACATCGCAGATCTGTGGGCGATTTATCTCTCTTCTACAGGTACTATCACGGAAAATGCTCTGAAGAGTTGGCACGTATGATTCCACCGAGAGTAGCACCTACCAGGCGAACGCGTCAAACAGACGGTAACCATGAATTTACTGTCAAACTAGAGGCACCAAGAACCTCACTATATCAGAATTCATATCTCTGGAGAACAGCATCGCTGTGGAATAAACTCCCTGCGACGGTTTTCCCTGCAGGTTACAACCTGAACCGTTTCAAGACCAACATACACCGACATTTCCGCGCACTTGCCGCTTCTCGAGCGTGATAGGACATTGTCCTTGCGAGTGCGCATATCCGTAAAAAAAAAAATCACAGAACAAGCAATAAAGCTACCTAAAAGGTGTCGGCATAGTACTATCCCACCTCGTAAAAGGCTCTCTCCATCAATAACCTCTTCGCAGAACTTTTAAATAGCTTAAGGGTAGGGCAAGTTTTCATATATATGGGAAGATGATTGAACAACTTACAACTTTCATATATTATAGAGTTCCTGACCAGGGCAGAGGATGGAATAGGCAAGTGCAGATCTTGTGACTGTCTAGTGCTATATGAGTGGACAGGCACGGGTAATGAGTTTTTATGTTTGTATATCATGCAAACCGTTTCGAAAATGAACAAAGATGGCAAGGTTAAAATCCATTTAGATCTAAACAACGGTGCATAAATCCCGGCTTTTTGCACCACAAATGTATCTTAGTGCTCGCTTTTGCAACACGAACAGCGAGTTCAGTAAATAGTTGCACGTATTCCCCCCAAACACAATTCCGTACCGCAGATGAGACTCTACCAAGGAGTGGTAGACCTTTTTAGCCAAGGAGGCACCCTATCTCCATTGATGTCAATCGGACCGCATAACATCCCGAGGCCACCTTCCTCGTAAGTCCTTCAATATGAGTGTCACATTTCAAATCATCATCAATAATGATGCCCAAAAATCTGGTGTTAGTTTTTGACAAGAGAGCAGTTTCGCCTAGATATAAACCATCCATGTTGCAGCGAAATCCCATAATGTTGGTCTTATCAAGATTAAAGCTCAATTTATAAACTCGCGTCGGGATTCTGTTTGCGTCTGCGTTTGCGGCGGCCTCGCCGTTACTGTATTTTTTATGCTGACGGTGAACTGTGAGGTCGACGACGAATATAAACGATCTTATGGGATTTCTAATATTCAATTGGTAACGCAAACGCAAACGGAATCCCGACGCGAGTTTATAAATTGAGCTTAAGGGTAAGCAAATTGGAGTCACATCACTGCCTAAATTTGGGAATATCAGCAGAAACCTTAGCCTTCATTATATCTAAGCCAAACTCACGCCAAGTGATGGTGGTGTCGTCAGCAAAAATCGTAAAACGTCCTGCAATATCTATAGAAGCCAGGTCATTGACGTAGATTAGGAAAAGAAGCGGTCCCAGCACTGAACCCTGAGGAACCCCATGGTAAATTCCGACGGCCTTCGATGTCTCAGAACCAATAGTGACTCCCTGGGTGCGTTCAGCAAGATAAGATCGAAACCACCTCAAAACCCCACCCCTGAAGCCATACACGCTAAGCTTCTTCAACAGAATTTCATGACTCACGCAGTCAAATGCCTTCGACAGGTCAAAGAAAACGGCCGCCACAGACTCTCCGCCATTAAGGGCAAAATAGACCTCAAGAAACCCAAATACGGCATCGTCAGTGCTCTTCCCTGACTGAAAGCCAAATTGACATACATTTAAGATTTTATGCTGGTTGAGAAAGGACATGATACGCTCCTTTACCAGCTTTTCGATGATTTTTGAGAGGGTTGACAATAAAGAAATTGGTCGAAAGTAGCAAGGATCAGCAAGGTGACCACCTTTATAAATTGGAATAACCCTTGCATGTTTCAGGCTAGTTGGAAATTTACCCTCAACCCAAGAATGGTTGATTGCATCTTAAAGAGCTTCCAGTGCTGAAGGGGAGAGAGAGAGAAATATTCATGCCGAGATTCCATCCTCACCGCACGAATTCTTTGTCTTTATCGCCTTAATGACCTATATCAACTCTGCCACATCCGTAGGTCGAAAGAAAAATGAGTTCGATTTGGACATGAGTCATGTAGTCCATTGGATCTTTAATTGGGCTCAGCTTGGATGTGAGATAGCCTGCCACGGAACAATAGTAACTGTTAAGAATATCCGGAGAAACATCGGGAACATTTATGGGTGAATGCCGATTCACACCCCTCAAATCATTAATAATCTTCCAGCTTTCTCTCTCTGTGAATTGTTGGCTGTAGAAAGGCGTGTTGAGTAATATAAATCTTTTGCGAGTTTTATTAATCTACGATAAATTGACCTATATCTTTGGAAATAATTCAGGAAGGCCTCGTTGTTACAGCATTTTCTTAATGAGTGCAGGCATCTCATATTGATGGAAGAGTTCCTCAGTCCGACAGTCCCTTAGTTATCCAAGGCTTCCCACACTTTGTCTTAATCCTTTGAATCGGAAATGCCCCATCAAAAGATGTAGAAAACTCCTATCCCTCTTTATGAGGGTTCGGAATTTTTTGTAGTAAGTGAGTGCTGCAATTCAATAAGCTGCAGTTACAACTAATACTAAACATAATTATCAACAGATTCATTATAGGCAGTGATCATAGAGTTCTGAGAGCTAAACTCAAACTCGCTACGGGGACAAGTTTCAATGAAAAAATTACACCATTTCAACCTCGATTTCGGAAAAAGTAACTTTTATTTGGGAAAATCTAAAGTCATTTTCGGAAAAAGTCAAATCAATTTCAGAAAAAGTAAAGTTAATTTCGGAAAAAGTAAATTCAAATTCGGAAAAAGTATATTCAAATTCGGAAAAAGTGAGTTCAAATTCGGAAAAAATATATTCAATTACGGAGAAAGTAATGTTATTTTTTATAGACTAATTTGAATTGATTGAGTCATTTATCTATTAAGAAAATCAAAAAAATTGTCCATTTTTCTCAAAGAGACCCGATTTTTAAACAATAAAAGAAAAAAAAAATCTACAGATTGTTTATTATTTTATTCTCTTAGTAGTGACATGTGTTTCGCTCATATGAACATCCTCAAACCTACAAAATACTTACGTAGAACCAATATATGTAGAACCAAATTAAAGTACAATAATTGGAATCGAACCCGTCAGGGTACGGGTTCGACTGGAGGTTTATAGTTACTGCTAAATTTACTTTTTATCAATTCGAATTATTTTAAAAAATAACAATACTTTCTCCGTTATTGAATGTACTTTTTCCGAATTTGAATTTACTTTTTCCGAATTTGAATTTACTTATTCCAAATTTGAATTTACTTTTTCCGAAATTAAATTTACTTTTTCTGAAATTGATTTGACTTATTCCGAAAATGACTACATTTTCCTGAATAAAAGTTACTTATTCCGAAATTGAGGTTGAAATGGTGTAGAATCACCATATTTTGGTTATGGAGTGAATGATCTCTTGAGCCCCATACACCCCAATTTCAAAATTTTAAATGGCACCACCCTTTTCGTGATACCTAAAATTAAATATTTTTGAGTATAGTATTTACCTACACAAGAATTTTTCCAAAAAATATTTAATTTTTGTCATCACAAAAAGGGTTATGCCATTTAAAATATTCAGGTTGGGATGCGTGGAGTCTAAGAGGTCATTATAACCAAAAAATATGGTAATTCTAGTTGCCTCTACCTGTATAAAATCTGTATGAAATTACGTTTTTCTAACTTTATTGCTTTTAGAAATACTCGCATAGAAAGTTTTCAAATTGACACTGTGTATAAGAATAATGAATAATGTAATAAATCTCCATACAATCATGGAGGACAATTTTCAAGACTCCAAAAAGGTTACTACACAAGTTACTGCAACAAGCAACTTAAAAAATTGGTATGAAAATCAATTGCATAGGAAAACTAAGGACTAAATTGTAAATTTGAGACACAGAGTAAAAATACTTGGAGACTATTGAGCTTTTTGGAAACAACCAAACATGTGTTCAGAAGAGTTGATCTAGAATAGGCAGGGTGGAAAGCTGAGAGATATCTTCAAGGTTACCTTTCTGAGTTTTTGAAAAACACATGTGCAGTTCACAACACATTGTAGAAGTGAAGCCTTCATAAAACTAAACTGAAAAGGCCACTCTTATTAATGCGCAGGGAGTTTACAAAGAGGAGACGAAGATAATAAGAAACACTGTTCTGTGTTCTATATCATTTTCTCGCAGGCTACGTCCTATCAATCTGTATGTTCATCTCTTTTTAATGTCGCTTTTTCGTTTCATCGATTCCCAAATCAAAATCTATTGAAATCCAAGGCGAACTAAAACAAAAACCGCCAGAAGCGTGATCAGTTGTTTGCAAGTGGACAGCGACGGTTCCTATTGGTTGATTCTGGTTTCATGCTGAATTCCAACCGATCATTCTCCTCAGTCTATTATGTGAGCAGCGCATGGACAGCGCGTGATTGGGTTGTCAGTTAGTTCGCCTTGGATTTGAACAGACATTAGTGCAGAAACGCTGATTCCCACTACAGCATCCCTGAAAAAACTATATGGAAAATGACAAAGAATTGAGAGGTGTGCATCATGAGCATGGAATAGTCTAACTTTGGGAGACACAAAGTGGAACAAAAATGCAAATCGTGCAATACACAGTTAAAATTGAATTCACATCAGGGAAATCATCATGTAGTAAGATTGAAAGATGGTAGGCATACAAAAATGTTTGGTCAAAGAAAATACTCACCAACAATCTTCAATTCCTCTTCTGTCCTTAATCTAATCACTTGCATTTTATTCTGTACACCTCCCCTAGAGGCCAGAACACCTTCCACCCTACTCCATACAGAGAGAACGCTTCCGCTTACTACATGATATGTACGCCTGCGTAAACCAACTTCACATTCGTGCCCGGCTGTGGCATTTCTACAATTGCCTCTCCAATATGCATGCGAGCATGTGTTCACTGACGAATCGTACTGTTCCGTCCATGATTTTTCTGCATCTGCCGACTCAACCTACAATAATTAATAATATAAATAATAGGTTTAAGTTTGTTAAATTGATGATCAAATGTGTGACATAGTCACTGTTATGTACAACAAATACAAGCACAAGCATAATGCGATTCTCCTTATTTCCGATGTTTGGCTTGTAATTGCCGAGAAAGATTTGATATTGAATAATCCAAACTAAGATTACCTTTTGAAACTCAAACACATAAGTTCAAATTATTCATAATACCAAAATTATTAACAGCGCAATAGGTTATTGGCAAATACTTATAGAGTTGATCTTTTTGTTGAGAATAATATACTTTAGTCAAAATAAGAAGGCCAAATGGATGCTTATTATTGTGGACCTTTCCCTCTGATACGTTTCCGTTGCTGCCAGTTATTGGTGAAATTATTTGTTTCTAGGACGTTTATCACCTTTTTTACATTAATTTTAAGTTGTATAACGACCCATTTAGAATAAATTGAAAACTTATCAACAGTTGCACATACCTTCTTGTACTTTTTCTCAAGTTCTGCCAAACTCTCCTGTCTAAACTGCAACCCCGTATTGGGTCTATAAACGGAAAACATTTGATCCTTCTTGCTTTCGCTTTTCTTCTTGTTGCTACCGCTACCAACTTCAACAGCCACAGCCAGAATGGACGTAGTTTTTCCATTTCTTACTTGATGCGACACCCAAAAACCTTCCTTTTCATTGGTCAACTCTGAGAATTTGTCCAAAGCTTCCGGCCAGGACATGCCACGTTCCACGTGGACTGTATGTAGTTCTGTGGGCGCCGTTCCAGTAGCGTGTTTTCTTACAAACGTTACGAGACGTACCCGTTTTACTACTTCTCCTCCTGCGCCTAAATCTAAAATACCCAAATCGAAACGTCCAGATCTTTTGGCTTGTGTTACTATAGCGTTGAGTGTATCTGTGAAATATCTGGAATACACCGATAACTATAAGTTTTATGTTTAAATAATACATAAATGAATGAGATTTGCCAGGAAAATTAATGTGCAATAATGTGCGAATTCATTAGAACCAGTATTATAATACAGATTCTATGCATGTAATAAATTCTAACACGACAATAATTTAGATACATCCTCAATTTCAAAGAATGAAAACCGAAAAAATGGGATGTTGCTGAACTATTAAATAATAAATATTATCATGGAAAAATACTTATTATTCGAAAGGATGAATCAAGTAACGAATTAAAATAAAAAACAGCAGGGAAATGAAGATATTAATGGCAGATAAATGTTATTATATACTCACTTGAATAACCTATTTTGTAACTCTACTGGCATACCAAGTATACGATTAAGGAACTTTGACATATTATTGAAGTCTTTATCTAAAGACAAGACGCCCGGCGAACTTTCACTATTCACTATCAATCCAACACCAATCTGAAAGCAAAAAAAAAATAATAAATAAGCTGCTGCTCTTCGCATTGAGGATTACTTACTAAGGCACCAGCAACATCCTTAAAGAAATCGCCCTTATAATCCTTAGGAGGAGGAACTATTGGTGCCTCGTAACCCATAATGGTTCTCATAGTGGCTTCCAAAGCGGCTCGGCCGTATTTGTTATCTATATTGAACTGGCTCAAGTCCCTGGTTTCTGTAGCTCTTCTGTCACCGTGCGTTAGGGCACCTAAACTTTCTAACCTGAAGAGATGATTTTATTAATTTTTACAGCAAAACGAACTTTTGAATATTTTCAAGCACTTAATTTTTCAATTTAGCTTAACTAGCTTATAGCAATATTCCAGAATCAAAAAAATTGAAAAATAAAACTAACCTTTTAGCCACTATAGAAGCAAATCTTCTTTCACCAGCCAGATCGGAAATAAGGAAAATATACTCTGGGGCGTTGACTTGATTACTTCTGTGAGTCCTACCAAATTGTTGAATAGCTCTGTCCGCAGACCAGGGTAATTCTAGGGTTATGTGAACTCTTCTTCTTTGATTTTTTACTCTACGATCGCTGAAAGGGCATTCAATAATTATTTTGGGTCAATTTTGAGTATCAAAACAACTCTATTTACCTCTGTAGTGAAATACCGCTAGATGCCGCCTCTGAAATAATAGCAACATCTTTCTCACCATCCATAAACCTCTGTTTCTCAGTCAAATTCAAAGTTTCTAAAGGTACATCAACTTCTGATCGGCTTTCATACTGAATACCACCATCTTCCGTTTGAACTACTCTACCTTTCCTGCCTGTCATTTCAGCCACATTTTCAGGTCCACCCAGCTCGTCTATGAGTTGATCCAATGTGTTAGGAGGTAATTTATCTCCTAGCCTTTCTATGGCCACTAAAAGTTCATCCTTCAAGCTACAAGCTCTTTCGATAGCGTCCATTGGGGGCGCATTGGTTTTGGTATCGTTACCACCATTGGCTTTGGCTTTATTCGTTTTCTGGGTTAATAATAATGAGAGTTTGTCTTGAGTGGATTGTCGTTTTTTGGGCGACTTTTTTTGTTTTTTGCCTTTTTTCTTGTTCCTGCTCCATGGGTCATTATCTGAGTCGCTGTCTGAATTAAATGGGTTAAAGTCACTAGACTGAGCCGAATCGCTTTGACCATCAGAAATTTCACTTTCGTTGTCAGACATTTGGAAGTCCGAGTCGCTTTTTTCCTCATTTTCACTGTCTGATGTGGACCACTTGTTTCTTTTGACTGCTCTCTGAGCTGCTTGTCTCATAGGTTTCCGTTTTTGGGCTGAGCTACCCTCCGCTGAGTTACCATTAAGAGATTTTTTTGATTCATGTCCTGAACCAATTCCTAGGAGTTTTTGTATTCGATTTCTATCTGGTGCTGGGAAGTGTTTTTCAACCAATGTTTGGAACACACCTAGAAAGGAATAATTTAATAAAAGGTTTTTCCAAAAAATTTTCTCATTAGATTGAAGAAATTCATACCTTTGGCTGTTGAAACAAAATCAGTCAATTCCCCATCATCTCGTTCCAATTGCTCCAAAGTTCTAGCCTCCCCAGTACTTTGCAGACCAATAACAACGCATTTTCCCATTTTGATAGCTTCGTGAGCTACCGCTACTGCATGAGGAACCTTGGCTGCTATACACAAATATTTGAAAAATCTCTGATGGGCAGACCAAAACTGTCCCCACATAGTTTTCCTCATACGGTTTTCTGCGTCCACTAATTCAGCGGCTTCATGGAACTTTTGCATTGCCTCCACCCATAATTTCACACTAGCATCATATACTTTTTCGAATTCTTTTGATAAGGGTACTTCTTCGATTTTAAATGCTACTCCATGGAAACTCAATTGTCTGGCTATATACATTCCTAGAGAAAACAAGAAATAGTTTTATCGGGACCACAAATACATAATTGCCATTTAACAAAAAAAAATGAAAATGAAATACTGCAATAACTGATGACAAATAGAGAAAATTGGAGACAAAATCTGATTACAATCTGGGTCCTTATTCTTGAAACAGGAGAGCATTGTTCCTAGGAGAACGAGTGTTCCGTCTTTCTCAATGATATGCAAATGATAATATAAGTAACAAAGACGGAACACTCGTTCTCCTGGGAACGCTGCTCCCCTGTTTCAAGAATAAGGACCCTGGGGTGTAAACCAAAGGTAGGTTTCAAGCTGCTAAAAAAAAATGTACATTTTCTCACCTCTTAATTTCATATCCATAGCAACTATTTCCATAGCACCAACCCCACGTTTTTCCACGGCCGAAATAAAATCGGCAAATTCTTTAAACGTTGTACCTTCGCCCCACAATCCCAAACGTACCATATATGCCATATTACGAGGCTCTGAAGCTCCTGTGGCCGAGGCGTAAACGACCCGGGCTTTGGGTAGTTTATTTTGAATTTCCAATACTGTCAAACCTAAATAAACAACACATTTACCATTATTGGAAAAAGTGGAAAAGCAAGAATTCTCTTACCAGTTTTTGTGGGTTTTGATGAGCCAACAGGACACAAATTTTTAGCCCTGTGACACTCGTCAAATACAATTAAACCGTCGAAATCCTGTCCACACCATTGCAACAGCTGTTTTAGTCTTGATTTATATTTTCCCCCAGCTGAATTGCTTTCTCCAATGAGTGCTGAATATGTGCTAAATATGACTCCTTTTTTCACATTATTATTTACAGCTGATGATATTTTTGCATATTTGAACTTATTTAGGGGATGCACTTCCACTCTTCCAGCTCCAATATCCTTTAAATCACGTTCTGCATCATATTTCAGGTCATTGGACACCGAAACCCAAATGGCTCTTTTGCGTCCTTTCAAATAGTTTTCGAAAATAATACCAGCAATGGTACGGCCTTTACCTACACCGGCTCCATCACCTATTAAAAATCCAGCTCGACTACCATCAGGCAAAATATGCTCATGCGCTTGTGAAGTATATGTTATGCTTTCTAATTGTAACGCAGATAAGGCTCCAGATTTAATTATGTCTTCAGGAATTGTGAGAGTGTACCAAACATCTACAGGAGCTACAGATGACAGAGAGGCAGTTTCAACTACAGGATCGGGATGTTTTCGGCCTAATTTTAATTTTGAAGGCATATAATCGGCATAGGTTTCAGCTACACCTAATTCTTCGTCGTCGACTTCTTCTTCTTCTTGTTGCTGATGCATTGGTTTGTTGTCCATTTGGTTCATCCACATTTGTTGCACAGCCTAAAATAATGTTTTGTTAGTGAATTTAAAAGAGAACTAAAACTTTACCTTACAAGAAATCAACATAATTATTTTTGATTAACTGTTTTCATTTTCATTAAATTTTTACCTTGTTACTAAGCTGGCCTCCCCATGGAGCCATAGGGTTTGTATTGTACAACATGGCGGATAAATTTTGTAAAAATGGGTTTCCATAAGGATTGCCTCCCATTCCAAAAGCAGCCATCTCCACTAGAAATGAGAATTTTTGTTAACTAAAATCATTTGAAAACTACAATTTTGATTTATGCCAGATTTGCATGCAATTCAAATGTGGGTAAGTGAACGGAAGATAACTGGCATGTTAGAACAGCAAGCCTAAAATTAAAGATAACAACCTTGTCAGCCCATTATTGGAAAATGCAACTAGCAGCCTCATTTTTAAATGTTCTCAACAGATATCAGTTCCTACACACTGAAACTACTACTACACCAAAGAAAGAAAATTAATATACATCAAAATTGTGCTGTGGAGAAATACAATAAATAGGTGCCTCCATGGAAAAATACACAAATGTAAAATAAGCTCGCTCTACATGCAAATCTAATAATTAGTTGTTTAAGTAATTTTTGATCTACTTAGCTAAAATTAACGCATAAACGCAAGAAATTTTAGCAAAAAAAAACCGAGGCCATAGTGCAAACTGGAAAAGCGTGAGTCACAAAAAATCGACAACACCAAACTTACTCTGCTGCAAGAACTGGGCAGCATTGAAGGCAGCGGAGGCGCCAGAACCACCGGCGCCGCCCTGGGCTCCGAACATGTTGCCCATGGGACCACCTGTAAGACTGCTCAGCATCGATGCCATTGCAGCCAAGTTGCCCATGCCAGCCGCAGAGTTCGCCGGACCACCGAAAGGTGGACCCACTATACATATACAAAAATTTACCCTATCATCTAAGATACATACGACTAGTTTATAAATGTATTGAAACAATTCATAACACAATACAGTCCCAATAATGATTACCAAGATTACTTTGATTGACAATGATTATGTGTTTGGCTTGGTTATTATTAAAGTATAATCCAACACGGAACCAAAAAAATTATTTAGTCAGAAAGTTTATGGTACCTATCAAAACATCAGAACAAGGTGGGAAATCTGGTGTTAGTTATATCATACATTTTTCTGTTTGAAGTCACCTTCTTCGTTTCGTAATTTTATCGCTTTCTGAATTGAGATGACAGTTCTATGATCTTGGATATCAGAACGATATGAAGCTCTCGAAGTATAAAAACTTTAAACTGAAGCCATAGAGATTATTATAAAGTTAAAACTGTTCCAATGCCTTTTGCTTGGAACCCATTTTATTAAATGCGTGTTACATTTTGGTATTATGGTTGTATTTAATTTCTGAATCACTATACAGTAATCATAGTAATTAAAGTAAACCTACTAAGCTGAATATGAAATCAAATCATTTATTCATGTTATTACACAGAGTGTTTATGTTTACACCACATGTCAGAACCTAGTACAAATACAATTACATTATCACACTTACTACGACAATAATTGGTAATAAATACTTAAACAAAACTAGCAAATATCTCAATTTCAACTAATCTTATTGATCAAATAATTTTACATTATATTTTATTCACATATTGGTAAAAAACTCATTTTTAATCTGAATTAGAATTGTTTGGAAATAGGAAATAACACCTACACACCAACAAAAAAAAAAATAATCATTTTGACTTACTAGGCTGTCTCATCATATCGTAGGCACTGGGATGAATATTCATCCCCCCTGGCATACCTGCCATCATTTTGCTGTTCATTCCCATGGCCCCCATTGGGCCCATCTTGACGTCTGGTTTCACATCTTTCTCTTGTTTCAGTTGTATGGTGGCCGCTGTAGCTACTGTTGCAAGGTCTTTACCACCTCCTAAATATCAAAAGTTTTCAATATGTGGAATAGAAATCACTCAATGATCATGTCAATGCTTCTTGTTAAATTGTTTTATCTGAAAATGGTTTCATTGTTCGTAAGTACATATAACATAAGGCATGCCGAATAAAATTACTTGGTTAGATGGGGATTCTGGAGACATATATTTCAAAATAACTCTACTCAACAGAAAAGTTTTTCTCCACTACCCTATGTTGGTGCCAAATTTGATATCTGACGTTTCCTATTCTATTAACCATTATCAACTGATTTTTTTCAAATACTACCCTGGATTTTTTAGTTTCTTTTGACATCCCAAAGAAAGTAGTATATCACAGGTAGTGATGTCCGTCTACTCTACTAAATGTACTTATACCGAATGAAAAGCGTACAACACAACCCAATACTTAAGTTCCTGTATAATATACATAATAAAAGTTTTAATCGAGCTTTGGAATTAAAATTGAGCTATTTTTAGAGACGCTTAATTAGTTCATATTTCACTCTTGCAGAATGCAGAGCTTCTGAACAAGAGATGCGTAAAAATCCTATTTCAGATTCTCCTACTACAGCTGGACCAGAGAAGTATGAAAATCCTATTGCTGGCTTAACTAGGGCTGAAATTGAAGTGAAAATGTATAAAACGTTGAATTGAAATTACCCTAGAATCAAAGTTCAGCATTACCAATTTAAAAAGGTCAGTATTGACCCTCAGAGCTGAAATTCAGCCTTAGAAAATTTCACACTATCTCTAGGATATAGACATGCAAGAAAATTTTATTCCAGGCTCTACTTCAGCCAAAATTGAACAGATACTCGGATTTCTGAGCATTCTAGTGGTGAATTAAAGCCAGAGCAGTTTTCAAATGGCATTTTTAAACCTTGTACAACACAAATTAAATTGGAGAAGTATGGAAATTTCATCAGGACTAAACACCAAAGCCTTTCAAGTCGCCGAAATGGGTCTGAAGGCTTGGGACTAATCCAAAGAAAAAAACATTGTAAAGACAGAATGAAGTCTAAAGGCCTTTTCGGAAACGCTGATCCGATTAACCCGATCATCAGCTGTTTGTGTTTTATCTGTCTTTAATAGGCACGATTCAAAAAAGACAAAGTATATCAGCTGGTAATCGGATTATTCGGATCAGCGTTTCCGAAAAGGCCTTTAAATGATTTAAACTTTTGCTGAAACCCTTATACAACTGGTATAAGGGTTTCAGCAAAAAACTTCCGTTCACTTCAGGTTATTCGAAAATTTACTGGCAATCCACAGTTTTTAGCTTATTTTGAAAAATATAAAAGAATTTACAAAAACATTATCAAAATGGCAAAACAGAAGTTTTGGCAGAAAAAAATCGAATCATCATCTAATGCAACTAAAGAAAATTGGAAATTAGTGAATGAACTTACTGGTAAAAATTCCGTTCTGCAGCCAAAGTTTGACTTGGATCCTAATGCACTAAATAATTTTTACTGTACAATTGCACAAAAGTTACAACAACATCTTAATAGTAGTTTAGATCCGATCTCATTCATGTCAGATATTAATATAAATGACACCTTTGTGCTGGAAACGACCAACCTAAATGAGCTTCTTTGCACTTTTAATGAAATTAAAAACAAAAAGTCTTGTCGGTATGATAACATTTCAGTCAATTTGCTTAAGCTTTTACCTGATAATGCACTCTATGTTCTGGCTGAGTGTATCAATGTTTCCTTTTTGACTGGAGTGTTTCCAAATTGCCTTTAAAAGCTATAGTTATTCCTTTACACAAGGGTGGTGAACTAAGTGAGCCATCAAACTATCGGCCAATATCATTACTGTCAACTCTATCAAGAATCGTTGAGAAATTGGTTAAGAGGAGAATGTTGATGTACTTTTCCCAACATAACATAATAAGTAGCACACAGTTCGGATTTTTGCCCACTAAAAACACTCAAGATGCAATGTTCAATGTTTTTGAGGAAATTTATACAGGCTTAAATGAAAACGAAACTGTGGCAACGGTCTTTTGCGATTTCTCTAAGGCATTTGATTGTGTCAATCATAACATAATGCTTCATAAGCTAGAAAAATATGGTTTTAGAGAGATCGCATACTTGTGGTTTGAATCCTACTTTGAAGGGAGGGAGCAATGGGTTAGGATAGGCGGCGAAGAGTCATCTCTGTTGCCATTAAAATCTGGCGTTCCTCAGGGGTCAGTATTGGGTCCAGTTTTATTTCTAATGTTCCTGAATGACATAAGTTATCTACCCATCAGAGCTAAACTTAGTTCTTTTGCTGATGATAACATCTTAACTAGGCGGGGAAAGAATGTTGATGATTTAAAGAAAGTTATATCAGAGGATCTGAGGCTCATCAAGGAATGGTGTGACGCAAACTTACTTTGTTTTAACACCAAGAAAACCAATGTAGTAACTTTCAAATTCACTTTTAATGATTTGGTTTTGGAAGCACAGCCAATTGAAAACAAAACAAGCTGTAGGTTCTTGGGCATCCATGTGGACAACCATCTTAAGTTTAATGAGCATGTCAAAATCTTGAATAATAAATTGGCCAGTGGCTGCTACGCAGTTAGAATAGTGGTGAATGAACTAGGTTTGGATACTGCAAAATTGGTTTACTTTTCGCTGGTGGAATCGCACATTAGATATGCCATTTCATTCTGGGGTAATTGCTCGGATGGGCTGTTCGAGTCTGTTTTTGTTCTTCAGAAACGAGCGATAAGGTATTTGTGTAGGGTTGGATACCAACATCACTGTAAGCCACTTTTCATCCAGCATAACATTTTAACGGTTTGCTGCTTATTTATCCTTGAGTCAGCCTGTCTAATGCACAAATACCACTACAGCAATCTAAACAATCCAATGACTTATGCAACTAGGCAACGATTGCAGATTCGAACACCTATCCCAAAATCAGCACTGACCCGAAACTCTATAATTTTTAAAAGTAGACAGATTTTTAATCATCTTCCAGCAAACTTAAGGCAAATTGCATTTCTTAAAAAATTTAGGTTTGCGGTGAAAACTTTTTTGTGTAGTGAAGTCTATTACAAACTGAACGACTATTTCAATGAACGATTTTAATTTTAATATTAATATTATTCTTCAATTTTTTATATTTCACCTTTATTATAATAATTTTATCCTTCCGTTTTTATTTTTGTTTTTGTTTTTGTTTTATTTTATTTTTTGTAGGTTGTTGAATTAGGACTAAATATCTTTATACAATATTTATTTTATTTTAATACTATTTAGACCTTAAGCATGCTTTGTCAATGAAATTTTATTTCAGACAATAAAGTATATTTTGATTTGATTTGATTTGATAATTTCTCAAAACTTTTCTATTTGACCTTTTTGTCAAAAATCTCAAATGATAAAGTAAGAAGGGGGGGATCACCCTGTACTATAAATGATTAAAGACTTCACTCTCACACTGAAAGTCTTCATTACTTGATGGGTCTCGAAATACGGGGAAAGACCCTGTCCTAATTTGGTCGGTTTTAATAGGAAACATCAATTTCTGAGCGAGATACAAAAAAATGAACCCCCCACTACGAGGCTCAAAGGATACCGCACAAACCTTATGAGAAGGGCTTTTCTGTCGAATTGATTTAAGATAGGGACTTAGGTAGGGATTGTGATTCAGATTGAAAGTGTTCACAATACAGAGTCCGGCTATGGCTAGATTCCGAGATATTTGAGGTCAAAGTGACCAATATGCGATCATATACATTTTTAATATTATGACATGAACTATGAAAAAACTTAATTATCAACATATCATTTATTGGTGTATAATGCCGCGACAATCTTCAGATACCACGAACAGCGTTATCTACTCACTGTGGTCACACAAGATTAAATGTACTATCACAGACATCTTCTGGTACTTGCCTTACCTATAATGTAATCGACACCATGATATCCACCGAGTATCATTAGACTGTAGGATTGATATTTTTGTTAAAAAAACATATATGTTCCAAGAAAATAGGTGTACTGTAGACATCATTTGGATCATAGAGGATTTCTTGTGCAAGGTCTTATGGAAGGATTGAGATATATCAACAGACCATATATGATAAATGGACAAGAATTGCAATTTTTTTTGCAAGGTATTCGTGAAGAAATAGGGCACAGTGCTTCAGGTAGGTACAAGAACGAACATGGAGTCTCTGATGAAGAATTTAAAACGCTTTATTCCATAACTGTAGATATTGCTATACTTGTAGCCGTGTAAAAACTCATCACTCAGATCTTGTCCTAACTTGCACAGCAAACACAGAAGATCCTTCTTGCTGACCTTCCTATATCCCTCTTCCACTGGCACTGGAACGGGGTAAGTAAAAAGATCGTTAACATCAGTGATAATATACCTGGATAAGCATCCGCTGACAGGAAGATTTGTTCCCGAAAATATCGGCTTCGAAGCTATTAGTAGAGAAGAATATATAGAAAGGCACATAACACCTTTCGATAGTTGCTTTTGATGGATATATCCTCGACATTCAAGGACCATACTTCTCGAATGCGGCTAACAATGATGCTTTGATTTGATTTGATTAGCGTAATAGATCGTAGATATCGAGACGCTATACAGAATTAACATGCTTAGAGAAAAAATCAAACGAGAAGAAGCCATTGTCATCAGCGCTGACGAAGAAAGCAGATTTCCTTTTCTCTGGGTCCCTCCCATTTAAAGTGAGACAAACGATAATGCGTGTGGCTTCTTCTCATTTGATTTCTACTCTACAAGAATCCCACCTATTTTGGATAGGAACCAAAGTCAGTTTTCAAATGAATAAGCAAAAAAAGCACGGATAGTGACTGAAACGCAGTGGATTGTTGAATCGCGTTACGGACACTTGAAAAATATTTTGAAATTCTTCTCAAATACCATACCAACATCCCACGTTCCGGATTTATCCCATGCGCTTCGCATTGCTGGCGCAATTATAAATAAGTATTATGGACCCATGAGGTTGATGGATTCAGTTGACTCCAGTTTGTGTGCCGTTATTTCCAGTCAGTATTAAATATAGAATACTTATGGCCATTTGCACGGCTATTACTTAAGGGATATTTAATCTAAGTGGAGCTTTGACTTTCCTTTCTACAAGAGTCACATTCAAAGCTCCACTTGGATTAAATATCCCTTAAGTTAAAGCGGTGCAAAAGGCCGTTATACTTTTATATGAACTTACTTTCGGAACGTACCAAGTGTACTTATCACCATCTCACATTCAAGACAGTTCACTTAGAGTTGACCAGGAAGGTAGTGAACAAAACGAAATTACCTTTGAATTTGTTCTAAATACCAATGAACCTGGATTTATTAGACTAGGGTTGTTTTCCCGATTTAGGAATGCTACTAAGTATCAGGTATGGATCGCGTTTAACGAAAAATACAACGAAGTAGACGGTAATGGGCAAGAACCTTTTGTAGGTTATTATTGCACTTGTAAAGCTGGAGCCAGAACTTAAGGTACATGCGCTCATGTTGCTTGCTGCTAGTATTGGGTATTTGGGATATACTAGGCATCAAGAAAATGTTCGCTATTCAAAAATCAAGCTTTTACGCAGTGTGCTGAATGCAAAGATGGCCGTTAACCAAGATATTGATGTAGTTATCAATGACGTTTAATATAATAATAGTATACCATATAATAATAGGTCTGTTCGCACATTGGTTGAAAACAGTCAGAAAACTAGTTTCAACCAATGAAATTCAGTCTGACTGGTTTGTGACTTCTGTGCGAATTTTCACTGTTGCAGGGCCTGGATTCCGAACCCACTATTCGATAGAATTGTCTATCGTCAAGGCGTGCGAAATAATGTTAACCTGACGATAGAGTGAACGATAGACGATACCACAGAATATAATAAGGTACCTGGTTGATGACATTTTCTTTTAATAATGTTATTGTTGGAGACCAACTAATCAATAATCTTAACGCTAATAAGTTTTTGGGAGTATTTATCGACGACAGAGTAAAATTTGAGTCCCATTTGATTTATTTAAGCAATAAACTGGCTTTAAATTGTTATGCGATTAGAGTTATTTCTGATAACTTGGAATTTGGAATTGCGAGGAGCGCTTATTTCTCGCTGATTGAATCCCATTTAAGATATGGTATATGTTTTTGGGGGAACTGCTTCAGTATTTGTTGAATGCTTTATTTGTTTTGTAAAAGAGAGCTGTGAAATATTTATGCAAGGCTAAATATAGAGACTCCTGTAGGCCACAGTTCATTTCAATAGGATTTTAACATTGCCAAGTATATTCTTGTTGGAAACATGCTGCTTAATGTTTAGGAAACACAGGAATGGTATAAACTCATCTTCAGTCTTCAACACTCGTCAAATATTCTACATTAGGTTACCTATTCCATCTTCAAGCCAGACAAAAGGCTCAATTTTTTACAGTAGCAAGAAAATTTTCAATCATCTTCCATTGCATTTTAGAGGGATCCAGAACTTAGTGATATTTAGAAAAAAAGTTAAAACCCTTTTGGCAACAAAGGCATATTACTCTGTTAATGAGTTCTTCAGTGAGAGATTTGAATGACCTGGGCTATGTTTGGGTTTTTTCTTGTGTACCTGTGAATGTCTGTTTTACCATTTTGATTCTTTTGATTAACGTTTGTTTGTTTTTTGTGTTCTCTGATTTTACATTTGTTGGTTTTATTTAATGATAGTTTTATAGGATTTTACACACTTCTCTGTGGTTTGTTTAATGACTTAAGCTTTTTTCATATATGTTTTACTATTGTCTATTATACATATTTAGTTTTATTGTCTATTATATACATTTAGTTTAAGTGCTTTGTCAACAAGATTGTTATTTCTTATGGCAATAAAGCTTTTTTTGACTTCGACTTTTGACTTTGACAAACCAATTATGTCAAAATATATCCTGTTCACAATCCGATGTCCACAGGTGCAGGTAAATTTATCACCTTTCCCTATCAAATAGCATTGAAAGGTGATTTTACCTGTACCTACCTGTGGACATCGGATTGTGAACGGATAATGGGTGGTATCAATTGACGTGTCTCGCAGAAATAGAAAAAGAGAACTTAATTGTAATAAATACAAGTTAGAAAGTAATAAAAAATGACATGCGCGCGCAACTCGTGGCTGCCGTGTAGCCAGATTGTATTGTTGCAGAACAAATGTAAACAAAAAAAATCGAACATTATAACATTAAAGAAGTGATAATATATTGTCAAGTGTTTTACAACGCCTTAAATCAGGCAAAAGAAGAGCTTTAAAGTGTATGTTAACATCCATGGCACTTTTATTTTAATAAATGTTTCATCTGGCAATATCGCAGAATGAAAATATGTCAAGTATAATTTAACATAACCTTAAACGACACTGGGATAAGTTCAAGTAATACGTGAAGTATTAGTTTGCTCCTTGTCGAATTACACGTTACAAAGAAAGAAGAAACGATTATTTCTGAACTCGTCCCTGAATACGAATGTGACGCAATCCCGTAACAAACTCGATTTTAATTGGATGCTCACCTGCAACCCACGAGTTGCGCGCGCACACCAGGTATTACGAGACACGTCAATTGTATGAATAAAAACGAAGTACTTGCTACTACTACAAGGATTAGTATGTTCTACATAGTATAGTCCGACAAATACCATTTTAAAGTCACGTGATACTGGTGGCAAAAAACGTATGTCCATTGATTATGCCGTTGATATCACCTACAAAAAGCTACTGGTGGGTAATTACTATTGAATTTTAATATATGTTCCCACTAGCATTTTACAAACGCGTTTCTGAAGTAGTATTGACCAATCAGATGAGAATTTTAATACTTGCAATTGTTGCGAGACTCACTTTTGTCGCTTCTGCTGCCCCTTGTAATACATTCTGAACTTGAATTGGGTACCCGTTTTCTATTTGCTTCTTTTCCAGTTGGAAAAAGGTTAATATAGTCAAAATTATTAGCTGTGTTTGCTCGTTGTATTATTTTCGAAAATAACTTTGACAAACTAATTGATGACAGTGACGGATTCTATTTCAGGTAAGAATATTATGAACAATAATTAGACAGCAATTTTTTTGTCAATTTTACTATCACCGCTGTTTGTGATGTATTCAACAAGGATAGAGAAAAATCATGTGACTTTAAAATGGTATTTGTTGGACTATATTTACTTCAAAACGAAGTGGATACTACATTTCGACACTACCGAAAATTAGTAAATTAGTAGTATCTACTTCGTATTAAAGTAAATACTACGTAGAACATACTAATACTTGTAGTAGTAGCAAGTACTTCGTTTTTATTCATACCACCCAATATGTCATAATATTAAAAATGTAAATTATCCTAAAGTTTTTTTTTTTTAAAGATAATTCCCCAAGTCAAAAATTTAGTAACTATGTTGGTAAAACAAGCCTTTTCTACATAAAAAATTTGATGCATTGACAATTTTACATTGTATTGCCAACATAATGTCATTTTGACTTTTATCTTTGAAAAAAAAACAGATTTTATATGGACTCTGACCCTAAATATCTCGGAATCTAGCCATAGCCGGACTTTGGACCCGTGAAAACTTTTAATCTAATGGCGTTTCCTATTGGTAGATCTAGTGCAGAACTAGTGCAATTTTTCTGTCTATTTCTTCTAAAGGTTGATTAAAAGGATGCAAATACACTCAGTGTGCACTGAATCTACCAGTTGGAAACGCCATAAATCACATTCCCTACCTGATCCTTTCTTTTAAGCCAATTTGACAGAAAGGCCCTTCCCATAAGTTATGTGTGGGGTCCTTTCATGAAATCTTGATTGGAGCAAACCTCATTTCGATTTCTTCAACCGTTTCGAGGCTAGAGGGTGATTCTAGATTTTATTGATTTTGTATCTCGGTCAGAAACTGACATTTCCTATTAAAACCGTCCAAATTGAAACACCCAGGTACAAGGTGTTTACTGTTTGGTTATAACTGGAACACTCCGTAACTTTTGTTGTGAACGATTGCAATTTTTAAGGAACATTTATGTATTGAGAAAGCTACAGAGTGGGTACAGAATAATATATTTGCTAGATTTCTAGTTACAGACTTTTTTTCTTGAATTTAACATGTTCATAATAAGGCCATCATACGAAAAGTGTTCAATTGGCCTCACATCACAGTGTTTTTTTAAAATAATGTTTCATATTATTTATCTGAGTGATGGTTTTTGAAATGCCTGCAGTCTATCCAAGCAAGAGATGCTGCGGTTCATTTGTCCTAGTTGTATGCAGACCTATTTAGATCACCATCCCAGGACTTGGAATTACTGTTTTTTTAGGAATGTAGCAAACGTATAAGTTCTATTTTGTGTACTATTTCTTAAATAATAATATTTTTATAAATATTTGTATTTATTTTAAACATTTTTTAAAAGTGGCCTTATTAGGAGCATAGTGATCCTAATAAGGCCAATGGTAAGGATTTTTGTTTTACGCAAAAACCACCACTTATATGAAAAAATAAAAAAATTGGAGTTATTATTCAAGTAATAGAAGCAAAACACTTCAGTTTTTCACATATAGATTGATTCGGTTCCCAGTGGGACCGATGGTGAGACACCCTTATATTAAAAAAAAAACACAATTTAGTTATTCTCCGCATATGTATTTGAATAGTTAAATTTCAATGCCACTTTTAAAACAATTTAACAGAAGCATAGATTCAAAATTATAACAATTTACCTGGAACTTCAATTTTATCAGGATCCTCGTCGTCGTCAAAGTCGCTACCGGACAACTCTTCTTCGTCCATGGCCTTTTTTGACTATTGAAACAGTGGCAAAAAATCAATTGGCAAATCTCAAATCTCTCAAGACAATTTTTAAACTATCTGTAAAAATTAAAAGTTGCAGTCTACCTCATGCAAAAAAGAAAAATATGACCTGTTCTAATCTGTTTCATAGCAAATTTAACTGAATGATTCATGTGCCTATTTCTATATACCTACTAGTATCATGGTTGAAATCTTCATAAATAATTTCTAGGAGGTCTATATTTAAACACGAAACCATAAAGCAAACCATAGATTTTTTTGATTTTTCATACTCTTCAATTACCAAAAAAGCAATAAATTTTACTGTTGTCTTTTTCGCCTACTTTTTAATTATTTTTTTTGCTATACCATGAACTATTTCCTTTATAACTTTTTACTTTACTTCTCCAACTGAGTTAGGTATTGCTTCCAAAGCAACTTTAAGCAGGCCTTTGAATATTGTTTCTCATTGCTGATCATTCTAATAGTTCCTCAAATAGTTCTAAAATTAACAATTTTAAATTTTGCTTTATTGCATATTCAAGATTGGGTATTCATTGCCTTGTTCATTGCTTATCGCTTGTAGTGAATTAGTTTAGGATATATTATTTTTAATTATGTACCCATTAAATTTTACTACTAATGATAACATTCATTTTAAATTTTTATCCTTGATAAAAATATAGGTGATACAATTTTTATATTGTGGTACCTACTCTACTACATACAATGCTACTATTGAGAAAGCCTGTACTTATCAACTTTATTTGGCAGGATTCTAATAGGATTTTATTTAAATTTAAAGTATTAAAAATATTGCCAATTATGTTGATGATGTAGTCACAAAATATATTTATTAAATATAGATATTTTTATAAATTTTGCCTTTTTGCTCCACATTCCACCTTGAGTGTGTGGAGATATGTTATTATCATTCCCTCTTATATAATCCTTACAAAATTATTCAAAACGATTTTGGTAAATTAAGAATGTTAACAAAAACCATTATCTCATCAAAAAAATGTACTACAAAGCAATAAAAGGACTTCAACCTACTAAAACTCCACTCAAATGATATTATTTGAGTTCAAGAAATGCAAACTAAGATTTATCTATTCTAAGACAAATATGGCGTGAACCAACGCCCTAATGGCAGTCTACGATCTATAATAGCGAGAGGTAAGCCCCGATAGGCAGAAGTTACAAGGCCCCAAATCCTTGGAAATCGAAGATTGTTTTTTTTTGTATTTTTTGGTTATGAATTTTTAAACACTGGTCTGAAGGCAAAACGAGAAAAAAAGGCAAAAAATAAAAAAATCAATGATTGCTGCTGGTTCGAGGAATAGAAAAGCGCATCCCGGAGGAAGAATTAAAGGAAAATTGAGAAGAAAAACGCAAAAATAAACAGATTAAAAGCAGGGAAAGAATGAATGGCAACAAAAAAAAATGACATTACCATTTTTTTTTCGGTCAGCGATTTTACATGCAAAACAGAGGTAAAGCACGCGGATTTCAGCTAGAACTCAAAGGCTACGATGTCTACTTCACTTCTAATGCATAAATTCACTTACAACTTTCTTTGAACGCGGCATTTTTTAATTTTTAAAGGGAAACACAATGACGGAACTTTGCAAAACACGCCAGAACGCCATGCAATTACCCACGATGCCTAGCTGCACTGTTGCCAACTTGCCAAGCAACCACAACAATGCTGTCAACTTATCTTTAATTATTCTTTTTAAATATTCACAAAATCACTTTGCTTTTTGTTCATATGATTTAATTTAAACTTGAAATATTTTCACCAAGTTAAACAGTTTTTTATGGAAAGTATTTAAGATAGAACAGTGAAACCAAATTCAAAAACTTTTGGAAGGTAAACGACAAATATCACAATATGGCAACGCGCATGAATCGCTGCCAACATTGATTTCTAGGGACAAAAGAAGAAAAGACACCAAAAAGTTAGGGACTTTTTAATTAGTCCGCTTCACGGCTTCTCCGCTAGAGGGCCAATTAATAATTGCAGCTTTTTTCTTTTTCTAGGGATGGTTGCATGGATTACGTCATAGATGTGAAGTGAGCCACGGATCAATACGAATAATCCCAACGAGGTACTAAATTTAGAGATATGTATTTTCAATTGAATTAAATTCTATTTATAATAATTGATAGAATATCAAATTGAAACTTTTTGAAGTTGACGATATTTCAAAATACACTGAATTCAATTTAATTTTACATGTATCTAAATTCAAATAAAAGAAACCAAAAGATTTTATGAATGATATTGGTTTGTTTTTTCAAAAAGTGGATATGCCGTGAAATAGGCACAGACTCGGTTTAATACAAATTATGTGAAAAGAAAACCAAGCCTCTAAAAAAAAAACTCGCCACTGCTTTGATTTGACAAGAAGTCTAAAGGCGGTTACACACGGACGTGGATGGCTTAATATATATACGTGCAAACATCAACGTGCAAACAACAACGTGCATGGCGCCTTTGTACAGACGCTCGCACAAAACTGCAGTCTTTCTATTCTTGCCACAGTATTCCGAGCAGTGTTGCCACAGGCTCCGAAAATTTCGTGCCAGATTATATTTTTAAAAGGGGCCAGATTTAGGAATTTCGGGCAAACCGTTTTCAAATAAAAAAAAAGAGAGAAAGCTCGCCGGAGGCAGAAATTTTTCTCGCATGCCACGCCCAAAAACGTTTATTTTGCATCAAAAAATAATGATTTGGCTTGTTATGGAGAAACGGGCCAGATTCGAAAAGGAGTGGCCAACGGGCCACTCCGTCTTTGAAAGGGCCAGATCTGGCCATATAGGGCCACCTGTGGCAACACTGATTCCGAGTGTGCATACAAAATTGCATATTCAAAAACGCGACGTTATTTTGCATACACATTGATGTTTTTGTTTGAGCGTTCATGTATGTGCGTACATGTTTTCAGACATCCACGTCCGTGTGTAACCGCCTTAAAGTCTGTTTTTTTTTTAAAGTAATTCCCCAAGCCCAAGTCAAAAATTTAGAAAACTATTTTGGCAACGCAAGCCTTTTCTACATAAAAAAATTGAAAGGATTGACAATTTTACATTGTGTTGCCAACACAATGTCATTTTGACTTTTATCTTTAAAAAAAAAAAACTAGTAACGGGTTAAAATTTGTCGTTAATTTCACTAATGGGCGTATATTGAATTTCTCAAATTTTACAAGCGTATGATATACGCCTTTTAGGAAGATGCATATTTCTGGTTTCAAAACATACGTCATAAGAAAATGTGTATAACTCAGAAACTACTAGCAGTTCATAGGCGTCAATTAGAGAGCGTATAAATTTGATGTTTTGCGACATAAATTCCTTGAAAACGAAAAATCGTCTATTTCTCATATACGTCCCTTGTCAAATTAACGACGAATTGTTAAAAAACTTGAAAAAGTAAAAACCAAAAAACCACTAAAATCTAGTTGCTTGTCTGTCTGTCGCTGCGTTCTTTATTCGATTTGTGCGCACCGCACTCTCGCTCGAAATTCTTAAATGAAATGCCGTTCGTTTATCTCTTTCGAGCTTTCCGAGCAAATCTTTTCGCGTTTGTAAATACGTCGAGAGAGCGTATCGAGCTCGCTCATTTCACTCCGAATTTTATAACCTCTGAACATCATGGCGCTTTCGCCACGGTGTACAGAATAGGGCAACCGAACCGAGAATACACACTCTAAAGCCTAGTACTCATTACTGCGAAATTCGCTCTTATTTGACATTGCTTCGACAATTCGACGTTTGATTCATGCATAAAACGTCAAATTGTCGAAGCAATGTCAAAAAAGTGCGAATTTCGCAGTAATGAGTACAAGGTTTAAGGAGTGCTTATCGGCCTTGTTTTTGGTAGAGTCCGCGTCAAGAGAAAAGAGTACGTTGACGTCAATTGCGCACAAGCCCAATTTTGAAGACTAACCGAACTATCGTATCGATCGGTGCTGCTGCTGAACGCCAAGCACGTGGTTCATTGTCGTACGGCCAGCAGGTATATTTATTTAGTTTATTTTCTATTCAAGTTTTGTCTAAAAAGATACCCCGCTGCTGGTTTCAGCTCACGGTCGAGGTCACGGCAGACAGCGAGAGATAGACGAGGGAGAGAGATCCGACCCGCTTCGCGCAGCTTTCTGTGTCGTCACCGTAGTCTTTACTGCTGACGCGGACTCTAATCGCTGCCATATTGGTTTTCAACTATTGCTGACGTCATAACTAAGTCGTCAGCTGTTTAGGCAGTCCAAAGGCGTTTTCTCGCGGGGCGAATGGTTCGAACTACGGTTTCAACCAATTTGTAGATGACGTCATCACTTGTGAACGCGAGAAAATGGAAGGTTTGAACCACAGTCTTTTGTCAACGGAGAACAAGCCATGAGTCCGGTTCAAACTTTTTTGAACCAGGTTCAATGTCACGTCACTGGTTCAACGCAAGAATGTACAGTTTCGAACCTAATTGAACCGGGTCGAACCAGTTCCACCGCGAGAAAACAGCTCAAGTCAAGGCGAGAAACGCCATGCTGCTTACGCCACAACTGGTTGTTTGGCCTGTGGAAGTAAGGTTTGATCTGTTACACACAGGCCTTTTGAGGATAGGTTATCCTGTAGTAGTAGTGTGTATCATCCTTGAAATCGAACGACCTGTCAAAAATAAATTCAAAATGGATGCCAATGCCAAAAACACTACGTTTTCATTGCGATTTTTGATTTGTGTAGGTATACGTTAATTTTTCCAATGATTTTTCCCTTGGTTTAAAAATATCCCCGATATTGTACATTACATACAGCTAGCTACGACGGCGCTGAGCTGCCATCGTAGAGCTAACTTTTTTTTCAGCGTGGGTCAGTGGACGGTGACGGTCAGTGTCTGTCGGTGTGGGTCACTGTTGGTCAGTGTTGGTCAGTGTCGGTCGGTGTCGTTCAGTGTCGGACGGTGTCGGTCAACGTCGGTTGGTGTCGGTCGGTGTGGGTCAGTGTCGGTTGGTGTCGGTCACCACACCAACCGAAATTGACCGACGCTGACCGATGCTGATCCACGCTGACCGTCAATTTACAGATAGAAGTGTAAATTTACAAATAGAAGTGTAAATTAACAGATATAACTGTAAATTTACATATATAACTGTAAATTTACAGATAGAACTGTAAATTTACGGATAGGAGTGTTAGAAAAAAAGTTAGCTTTACGATGGTAGCACAGCGCCGTCGTATACAGCGGCGGCAAAATGTAAAGAATTTTATTACTGATGCTGGCAACAGTGCCACAACTCTCTGGTACTCATCGTGACGTCTTCCTCCGAAATTTGTAGGATCCATATTTTCAATTTTAAGGCCGCAAAAACGATGAGAATGCTGTGCTCTGATTGGTTGATTTTTCGAAACTTTTTTTAAGGTGTTTGGAACAGAAACCCAGATATTTTTTTTTTTGTTTTTTGGCCCATGTGTGGCCGTCACGCCATCTTGAATGTCGCGTGGTTTGGAATGTTTGGATTGCCTAATAGATTGAGAATTTTTTTCGATTGACGCTGGCTGCACTCTCCACACTCCACACCCTCAAAAATTTCGGAGCGAGTCGATTGCCTCGATAAACTCTTTGGACGTATTTACGAACGCGAAAAGTTTTGCTTTCAACGCTCGAAAGAGAATGAACGAACGCATTTAACAATTTTGAGCGTACGGTGCGCGCACAGAGCGCAACACTTGGTCGAGATGCTTCAAGAATTTCACAATTATCTTCACAAAACCCGTTCGTTTTTTATTTCAAGCTCGGTTTGCTCGATGATCAGCTGACCTCTGTTCAAGGCAGCTCAAGCTCCACATCTCTCCACATGCTCCGTACTTCGAGGGAATAAACGAACGCACCTTGTATCTGTGATGTCAGTTTGGTCAAGGAAAATACATACTACGACTACAGGATAGTCTATTCCCATAAGGCCTGTGTAGAACAAATCTGAAGCCCCCACCACATCAAATCACCAGTTGTGATGTAGCAGCGTGTCGTTTCTCGCCTTGACGTAGGTTGTCTGCACCCAGTCATGATTCCGCGTGCTTTTGCTTTATGCATACTTGGTTTTACTACGTTAATGGGTCTGTTTCTGCAGAAATCACAAACCAGTCAGAGCGAATTTCATTGGTTGAAAACAGTCAGAAAACTAGTTCCAACCAATGAAATTCACTCTGACTGGTTTGTGATTTCTGCAGAAACAGACCTAATAATTGACATTCTAAAACAACTCCTTTTTAGATCTCGTTCGTATCTTCCTCTTTGTGGACTTATTCAAAAATCAAAATGAATGATATTTTTTATCATAAATTTAAATTCCTAACTAGGACCGCTGGCGCAAACAGCTGACGACTTAGTTGAAGACGTCACCAATGGTGATACACCAATAGGGCAATCCAACGACTTGTCAAAATGGAATTCAAAATGGAGGCCAATGCCTTTTTTCTACTAATAATTTCTTAAACTAAAAACTTTCCATCTTAGAATACGAAAATTATCCTCTCAAACACTAGAAAATCATCTAAAAGCACAACAAAATACACAAAAAACAGTTTTTTGATGAAAAATGTCACGATTGCTTGAATTAAATTTATGGCGCCAATTTTTTGGCATTGGCCATGCATTGACCACCATTTTGTTT